AAGCTTTTAACACCATGAGCCATATTCTGCCAGGTGTGGCCCTGGGAAGGGGCCCCTTACCATGTGACGGGAGGTGCTACCATGGCTAGGCAGCTACTCGCCATCAGGCCACAGAAGAGCCTCTTGGACCTGGGGAAGGACCCGTGAGACTCTGTGAAGAGGAAGAGTCAGTTTTGAATCAACCCCATTTTATAAATAAGAAAAATTAGAAAACTCTTCTCAGAAGGTGGTGGGGGTTGAGGAGGGGGACCCAGGGGCACCTAAAGGCTAATTCTTGCTAGAGTCATTTACATTTTAACTTAAATTTTCTAATGTTGTGAATAGACTTAATTATCTGTTCACAACTTTTAAAAATGGCTAAACATGGCTGAGCGTGGTGGCTCATGCCAAAATCCCAGCACCTTGGGAGGACGAGGCGGGTGTATCACTGAGGATAGGATTTTGATACCAGCCTGGCTGATATGGTGAAACTCCATCTCTACTAAGAAATACAAAAATCAGTCATGTGTGGTGGCAGGCGCTTGTAATCCCAACTACTCAGGAGGCTGAGGCAGAAAAATCGCTTGAACCTGGGAGGTGGAGGTTGCAGTGAGCCCAGATTTCACTACTGCACTCCAGCCTGGGTGATAGAGTGAGACCCGTCTTAAAAAAGAAAAAAAAAGGAATGGCTAAACATTACTTTTAAAATCAAAACCATTTCAAAGCCCTTACTTCACTGGATTCTCAGCCAGGGCTGCCCCCAGAGCAGAAGGCAGCTGTGGGAAGCAGAGGGGTGGCCTCACCTCCACCTGGAAGATTCCTGCTCAGATCCTGGGTCACTTGCCCCACTGATGATGCCCCAGCTGCTCCTGCTGGGAAGCCAAACCCAGAACCCCCTCAGGTCTGGTCCCCACTCCACCCCCAGCACCCCAGTGCAGTCATGTGGGAGGATGGGGCCCGAGGCTGCAGGGGCGGAAGTAGGTGGGTCAAGGCTCACTTCGCCCGCCTGCAGGTGTTGGTCTTTGTTTTTTAAACCAAACAGAGCAGATAGACGCAAGGAAGCAAAAATGACTCAAACTCTGGGTGAGCCAGAGCCCGTGGAGGCGGCAGCTCTCCCAGCACTGGGGACATGCCCAAGGCTGGCTTTGGGGTCAAAGAATAATCAAAGATGACACTTTGGGGCTGCCCTCTCCCCAGCCCTCCTGGGCAAAGTCGGTGCATCCGAGGAGTCAGCCTGGACTCAAACCTCTGACACCCGACCGCTGTTGGCCTTGGTGCCAGGACCCGAAGGGGTGAGAGGACACAGGGAGGGGTGCGGAGGGGGAGAGCAGCTGGACTCTGCCCAAGCAATTTAGGCGCCTGCCTCGTCTGTGGTCCCCCCCACCCCCAGCTCACCGAGCAGTGGAACAGCCCCTGGACATCCCCAGGGAGACGGGGCCCAGGGATTTCGGTGAGGCCCTGTGCCCAGGCTGGCTGCGCCCCACCTGAGGGAAGAGTCACTCCAGTCCCTCTGGGCTGGTCCATGTGCAACCACGGTAGGACACAGGTCATCTCCATTGAAACGCAGAGGGAGGAAGGGTGTGCCTCCCTGCTCCTTCCCCACCCTCGCGGGGAGGGGCGGTTGCCCTTAGCAACGGGATGCCCACGTGGGATACTGGAAGTCTCAGCCTACCCCACCCCACCCCTCCAGGCCCGGTTTCTCCTGGGTGCAAAGGGTTACTTCAGAGCTGTTGGGCCTCCACAGCAGTACATTAAATGTTCTGGAAACTAGGAGATGTGGCACTGATGTACAACGGGCAGGAATAGCCATCCTGTCCTCCTGACCCCGGAAAAACCAACTTCTGTTTGGAAGGAGCACAGGGTGGCGCCTGGCCTTTGGAGTCAGGAAGAACCAGGCTTAAGTAGTAGAACTGCCTGACCTCCAGCTTGTCACTTCAGCTTCCAGGTCTGTTCTTGACTTGGGTTGACTGGGTGGGGCACATAAGAAGCTGCATTCATTCTTTCTTGCCCCTCAGGCATCCTGTGCTCTCAGGGTGCTGGGCGCTGTTTCAGGTCCCAGTACACAGCACAGAGGGAAGAGAGTGCCTGATGGCATGGTGATTGGTCTTAGTGGGGACAGCTAGACACTAAACCAGGAGTTCTGTCACGTCAGTTGGTGATAAATTCACTTGAAGAAATTTCCACTTCCAGGCAAGGTAGAACAGATGCACCTGTCCCCATGCCCTATACTAAGGACAGTTAAAATCCCTGTATATTTCCCTGGATATTACACATACGTATATAACTACATATGTAAATGTATATATATCAAACACTAAAAGGTGGAGAGAAGAAGGCAGACCAGGTAGGGACCTTGGGACCTGAAGAATGACATGACAGGAGTTCCCTGGATTTTCTTTCTGCCTCATATATCTGTGACTACGTGCTGGAGAAGCCGGCAACATGAAACACCAAAAGGCACAGACAAAAAACAACAACAAACCCAACAAGCTGGCCTTCAGCAAAAATAGCTAGGCAAGAAGAAGAAATAAAAGTTATCCAAATTGGAAAGGAAGAAGCTAAATTGTCCCTGTTTACAGATGACATGATCTTAAAGAAAACCCTAAAGATTCCACCAACAAGCTGTTAGAATAAATGAAATCAGTAAAGTTGCAGGATATAAAATTAACATACAACAATCTGTAGCATTTCTATACCCTAACAAAGAAATCAAGAAAACAATCTCATTTACAATAGCTACAAAAAATACTTGCGAATAAATCTAACCAAGGAAGTGAAAGATATGTATGCTGAATACTATAAAACATTTGTGAAAGAAATTGAAGATACAAATAATTAGAAAGTTATCCCATGTCTGAGATCAGGTGCCAAAAAAAGGACATCCCATGTTCATGAATTGGAAGAATATTATTAAACTGTCCATACAACCTCAATCTACAGATTTAATGCAATCCCTATCAAAATTTCATTGACATTTTTCACCGAAATAAATAAAATAATCCTAAAATTCGTATGAGGGAGTAACACCCGCTCCACAGTGGCCAAAGCACTGTCAGGTGCCACACGCAGCCTGTAGGGACATGTGGACTGCAGTACTGGCCCCACCTAAAGTACCGTAGAGGCCCAAGAGACATGAGCCAGGGCCATTTTAACTGTCAGTAATGGCCACAAAGACCCTTAAATAGCCAAAGCAATCTTAAACTAAGAGCAAAGCTGGAGACAATATACTACCTAACTTCAAAATATACTACGAAGCTATAATAATCAAAACAGCATGGGATTGGTATAAAAACAAACAGACCAAAGGAACAGAATAGAGAGCCCAGAAGTGAATCCATGCATTTACAGTCAACTGATTTTTGACAGAAATGCCACGAAACACAATAGAGAAACGATAGTCTCTTCAATAAATGATGTTGGGGCCAGGTGCAGTGGCTCATGCTTATAATCCTAGCACTTCAGGATGCCGAGGTGGAAGGACCACTTAAGGCCTTCCTCCAGGCTCCGGAAGAGACCTCCTCCATGATCCCTTGTTTAAGGGGAAGCTTCCTCAGGACCTCACTGTGGGGGCTGAAGGTGGCCGCCCCTCCAGGAACTTATGCCCCAGGCACTAAATTCCAGCTGCCTAAGTCTGTGTGCATGCGTCTGTGTTTGTGTGCATGTCTGCATGTCTATGTATCTGTGTGTGTGCATGTCTGCATGTCTATGTGTCTGTGTGTCTGTGTGTTTGCATGCATGTGTCTGTGTGGTCTATGTGTCTGTCTGTGCACTTCTGTATGTCTTTCTCTGTGCATTTTTGCGTGTGTCTCTGGGTGTCTCTGTGCATGTCTGTCTATATGTGTGTGTCTTTGTATCTGTGTCTGTGTGCGTCTGCGTGCATGTCTTTCTGTGTGTGTCTTTCTGTGTATGGCTGTGTGTCTGTGTCTCTGTGTGTGTCTCTGTGTGTCTATGTAATGGTGCGTCTCTGTGGCAGGAAGAGGTGTGTGCGATTGTGTGTCTGTGTCTTTCTGTCTGTGTAATGGTGTGTCTCTGTGGAAGGGAGGGGGTGTGATTGTGTGTCTGTGTGTGTGTCTGTGTACATCTGTGTATGTAACAGTGTGTCTCTGTGGTGGGGAGGGGGGTGTATATGATTGTGTGTCTGTGTCTTTCTATGTGTGTGTAATGGTGTGTCTCTGTGGTGGGGGAGGGTGTGTTGTGATTGTGTGTCTGTGTGTGTCTGTGTATGTGGTGTGTAATGGTGTGTCTCTGTGGTGGAAAGGGGTATGTGTGATTGTGTGTCTGTGTGTGTCTGTGTGTGTAATGGTTTGTCTCTGTGGGAGGGAGGAAGTGTGATTTTGTGTCTGTGTCTTTCTGTGTGTGTGTCTGTGTATGTAATGGTGTCTCTGTGGCAAAGGAGGGTGTGTGATTGTGTATCATGTATGTAACAGTGTGTCTCTGTGGTGGGGAGGGAATGTGTGTGATTCTGTCTGTGCGTGCCTTTCTGTGTCTGTATATGTAATGGTGTGTTTCTGTGGCAGGAGGGGTGTGTGTGATTGTGTGTCTGTGTGTCTCTGTGGTAGGAGGGTGTGTGTGTGATTTTGTGTTTGTGTGTCTGTGTATGTAATGGTGTGTATCTCTGGTGGGAGGGTGTGTGATTGTCTATGTATGTAACAGTGTCTCTATGGTGGGGAAAGGAATGTGTGTGATTGTATCCATGTGTGTCTTTCTGTGTGTGTGTGTAATGGTTTGTCTCTGTGGCAGGGAGGGGGTGTGTGTGATTGTGTGTCTGTGTGTGTCTGTGTATGCAATGGTGTATCTCTGTGGTGGGGAGGGGTATGTGTGATTGTCTGTGTGTGTCTGTGTATGTAATGGTGTATCTCTTGTGAGAAAGAATATATGTGTCAATGTATCTATGTGTCTTTCTATGTGTCTATGTATATAATGGTGTGTCTGTCGCAGAGGGGAGGAATGTGTGTGATCGTGTGTCTGTGTATCTGTGTGTGTCTGTGTATGTATCTGTGTGTGTCTGTGTATGTAATGGTGTGTCTCTGTGGCGGGGAGGGGGTGTGTGTGATTTGAGGTGGGGGTGAGACCTAGGCTTCAGTTACTCGCAACAGGACAAAGGAAGCAGCGTTTACCCGTTCTGCTAAAACCAAGGGCGGGAGGGGGAGGGGCTGCCGGCAGCCCTCCCAGAGCCCCTGGCAGCCGCTCACGGGTTCCGGACTGCCTGGTGGTTCTTGGGCACCGCCGCGAACCTCAGCTTCCTCAGGACCGCAGGCCAGCCCAGCAGCTGCTGGTCCCACAGGTACTCGGGGGAGAGCACCTTGGTGGGTTTGTGGCGCAGCAGGTACTTGTTCAGGTGGCTCTCGTCGTGCCACACGGCCTCGATGCCGTTGGCCTGGTCGACCATCATGGCCTGGTGGCAGGCCCTGGTGAGCCGCTGCACCTCCTGCACCGACCCCCCGAAGAACCCCCCCAAGTAGTAGAAATCACCCTCGTCCTTGGGGATGTAGGCCTGGGACTGGGGCCGGCGCTCGTAGGTGAAGGCCTCCCGGCTGCTTCCGTAGAAGGCGGGGTGCAGGGTGCCGAACAGCGAAGCCAGGATCTCCACGCCCACGTGGTCGCGGAACTCCATGTCCACGTCCACGCACACCAGGTAATCCACCTCGCTGAGGAAGCGCCGCTCGCAGAAGTCGCTGATCATCTCCATGCGGCGCATGGACACGTCCTGCCAGCGCTTATAGGCGCGCACCCCAAGCACCGACAGCTGCCGACCGGTCCCCAGCGCCACGCGCGGCACCGCGGCCGGTTGGTCGGTGAAGACGTAGTAGTGGACCCGGTGGCCCACCATGAAGTGCTTCTCCGCCGTCTCCAGGAACAGCTTCAGGAAGGCCACGTATCTGCAAGGCAGGCGAACGGGGGGCTGGGGGAGCAGCCAGCCGTGTGCCCCTGGGCTGCAGGAGGCCCGCCCTGCGTGCACCCACCAGCGGCCATTGGAAGGCTCAGAGCAGCAGATGCACCACGTTCTCCTGCCCTGTCCTGAGCGAGTCCTCGGGCTCCGACTCGCTTCATCCTCTTCTCAGCGATGGAGGGACCACCAGCACCCGCTCTTAGTAAGGAGGGCTGAGGGCAGGCGTCTGGAGGCTGGTAGCACGCCGCAGGCTGGCGCCCGCTTACTCTCCCTCAGCCTGGCCTGAGTCATGCCTCGCCACGCAGCTGTCACTCTTACGGCCAGGCCGGCCACGTGCCCCCTCATTATAAGCTGGCGCGAGGCCCCTACACGCCCGCCTCTGCACCCTAGAGCTTCCCCCTCCCAGGCTTGAACTGCATGTATTCCTAAGAGTAGGTCATTCCTGGACTCCCCACTGGATCAGGAACCAGGCCTACCATGTGGGGGAAGGGAACAAGGTGAACCCTGAAATAATAGGGGTGAGTAAGGGTTTGTTGAGGCCGCAAACCCCGAGTCCATGGTAAAACCTCTAGGCCCAAGTCAGGTGCCTCCCCCACCCCAAGACATTTTCTCCAACTGCCTCAGATGGCGGGTCCCTCCTTGAGGTCCCCCAGGGCCACCACCGTGGGGATGGGGAATCTCCCATCATTCCGCAAGTGTGCTCCTGAGGCCCCGAGTTTATGGAACAGGCATCGTGGCTGCTTTGCCCCAGCTGGCTCATTGGCAAACCACTCACAAGGGGTTTTACCGACCCGGCGAGCCCACGTGAGCTCAGTAAGATGCTACGTGAATGAACTTTCCCATCTACCCTCTAGGAGGACAAGGCTGGCCGCCGCCCCGCTCTGTCTTGAACACAAGGGGAGACCTCAGTGTCTGTGGTCACTTGTCACTGCCTGGGTCTCTGCCCCCAGCCACCTCACTGACTTACTTTTTGATGGCAAACACAGTTAACCCGATAGTGGTGTTCTGGAGCCTGAACTGCTCGTTGAGGATGTCGATGTTGAACGTGCCCTCCCAGACAATGGGAGCCAGCCAAGGGGTCACGACAAGGACGTCCTTCCTACTGCACATGGAGAGAGACGTGGGGTCACATGGAGCTGGCAGGGTGCCACCCACCTGCGCCTCTGGCACACAGCCATCCCCACTTGGAAACTCCACTCAGCTTCCGCCCCCTCTGACCACCTTTCCAGAGGCAGCCACCCTTCCCCAGGAAACCAGCCAGAGGCAAATGCGACTCCAACTGGGCAAATCATTCCCAGCCCTCCCTCAACATTGGACCTGCCGCAACACAGAGGAAGCTGAGCTTTGCTGGCAAAGAGATAGAAACCACCCCTCCCCCGCACCCTCCCCCCGCTGCCCCTCCCCAGGAAGGAGGTACCTATCAGGCCTTTGCAGGGGCTTTGGTGAGCAAAGGGACAGGAAACAAGAGACGCAAGTCAAAGAAAGCAAAGGGAAAGAGGACAGTTGTGGGCCTCCGAATTCAGATGTCAGGAGAACCTGAGAGGAGAGAATGGCAAAGCAGCCCCAACTGAGATTTACATCAAGGAAACCGCCCTCTAATACCTTCAGAACAGCCCCTTGAGCTGCGTTCAGTCTCAGCTTCAGTAACTTTACTCACCAGGGTGTCAGCACCTTTGGCTGGGGGTAGACCATCCTGCAAGCACAAAGCGCCATCACGTGAGTTTGCGTGGAAAGCGTGGGATGCAGGTAAGCAGGGGGTGTGCACAGCTGCTGAACCGTGACCAGGCGTCAACCCTCCCGCTAAGGCCACACTCTCGGGCTGGAATCGCTGTGGCTGCACGGGGGCTGTGTCAGCTCATAATCCCAGGACCTCGGGGAAGGGCTGGAGCTCAGTCTCTGGTTCAGCGCTTGTAAACTGGCAAGAGGGACCAAGTGACCTCAGGGGCCATTGCTTTCCACTTAAGGCTGGGAGGGACGTAAGAGGTTGTGTCTTAATTCACTGTGGGCAGACAGGAGGCTAGGTGTGTGGCCTCTGTCCCTTGTTGTTCCCAGGGAAAGGCCCTGAGATGTGCAGACTGCCCCACCTGGGCCCGAAGCCTGCTGGGCCTCCTTGTGGGCTGGTGGCTTCCAGAGCCCGGCCTCCTCTCTGAGAAGTGGGGGAGGACCACCTGCTCCACGGTGGCACGAAGCACTGTCAGGTGCCACACGCAGCCTGTGGGGACGTGTGGGCCGCAGTGCTGTCCCCACCTAAAGTACTGTAGAGGGCCAGGAGGCATGAGCCAGGGCCATTTCAACTGTCAGTAATGGCCGCAATTTGAATGTCCAAGATGGCCTTTGAAAGCAGGGAGTCAGCAGAAAACAGGAAGGAAATTCTGACACTTGGTACAACCTGGATGGACTGTGAGGACATCACGCTCAGTGATTTCAGCCCATTATAAAAAGACAGTTACCGTTGATTCCACTTATAAAAGGAAGTTCGAGTAGTCAGACTCGTAGGAACAGACCATGGAATGGTGAGCTGGGGCAGGGGAAACGGAGTTGTTATTTTATGGGGACACAGCTTCAGTTTTGCAAGATGAAAAGAGTTCTAGAGATGGATGGTGGTGATGGCTGCACAGCGATGTGAATGGACTGAGCACTCCAAAATGACGAAGATGGCAAATTTTATGTTAAGTGTATTTTACCACAATTTAAAAAAAAAAATCAAAAGCAGTGTGGCCAGCTTGGCATTGATTGCCTAGACTTTCTCGTCAGCACTGATATAGGCCCACATCCTGGGAAACAGGCCCCCAAGGCCCCAGACAGAACAGACCAGCTCATCATCCTCTTTAAAAGCCAATTTGAAGGCCAGGTGCAGGGGCTCACGCCTGTAATCCCAGCACTTTGGGAGGCCGAGGCAGGCGGATCATTTGAAGTCAGGCATTCAAGACTAGTCTGGCCAATGTGGTGAAATGCTGTCTCTGCTAAAAATACAAAAATTAGCCAGGTGTGGTGGTAGGCACCTGTAATCCCAGTTACTCGGGAGACTGAGGCAGGAAAACCACTTGAGCCCGGGAGACAGAGGTTGCAGTGGGCAGAGATGGTGCTACTGCACTCTAGCCTGGGCAACAGAGTGAGACTCCATCACACACACATACACAAAAGCCAGCAACACGCAGCTGGTCAAAACTGAAGCTCCAGTTCCATCGTGCTCTCTAAGTAGCTGCAGGATGAGGGCCAAGTCAGGGCAGAGACTGGGGAACGAACAGCCTCCTCCCTTGGAGCCACAGGAGGAAAGAGGACCTGCCCCAGCTCCCACATGCTTCTGTCCACACGCACACATGTGCCAGGGCTGCAGGACAATTCTGTGACATGGGAGGCACTGACATTATACCTTGGCAATGAGACACGCTGCAGACCGTCTGGTTCCCTAAAAGCCGTGCTGCAGAATGAGAACACAGGAGATGAAGTTTATTCCAGGAGCAGGATTTAGGGCACAAGTGCATGGAAGCCAGCTGAGGGTCCCAGTGGAAGGGACATAGCATCAGCCCTGGAGTGTGGAGCAGAGTCCACCAGAAATAGTCACAGAACAGCCATCACTGTGGCGATGGGCCTGGCATGGGCCCATGTGCCAGACCCTGTAATGGCCAACACTGCAGTCTGAGGTCTACGTTCGCAGAGCCTCACAGCCCACACATTCACCAGACACATCAAAGCCAAGGCCGGGCAGAGTGGAGTTTCAGAACATGTCTGCAAACCGTGAGGCCCCCTCCCATCAACAGATGGGGTCTGATATTCCGTGTTTCTAAGAAATAAAATGCAGCAGAAGTGATGCTGGGTGACTTGTCAAGCCAGGCCCTAAAAGGTGATCTGGTTTCTATCTCATCTTTCTTGGGATATTGGTCTTGGAGCTTCCCAACAAAGCTGAGCAGGAGCCCAGGCCCCGGAGAGAGGCCCTAAGTAGGTGTCTCAGCTGAGAGCCAGCATCAACTGCCAGAGACACAGGGCAGTCTTTGCAATGACCCCAGTCACCGTCTGCCAATGCCTGCTGAGGCCCCAAAGTGAACCACCCAGCTGAGCCTAGTCCGCCCCAGGAGGCCCAGGGAGAGATAGTAATCAATGATTGTGATTGCTTTCCATGGATGGGGTGGTGTGTTCTGCAGCCATGGATCACTGACACAAGTGGAAATTAGCAGACACGGCAGGGGAGAGACAAGAGTGGTCCCAGCAGAGGCCATAGCAGAGGCAAAGGCCTGGAGTCACGACAGCATGGCAGGTGGATGAGTGACAAGCCACTTTGGCTGGAGCATAGAGGGCGAGGGCAAAGGAGGGAGAGAAGAGGCTGGGGAGGTCAGGAAGGCGGGATCAGACCATGAAGAGCCTCCTACCTTATATTCTGGAAAGATCACTCCAGCTGCTGTGAGGAGAAGGGGGACAGGGCTGACGGGGATGGGGAGACAAGTCTGAGGCTGTTGCAGCCCTACCAGACCCCTGGAGCAGGACATCGAAGGCAGAGAGGCCAGTGGGCATGTGAGCTGCTGAAGAGCAGGGCTGGCAGGATTTGGGAACCGAGTGTAGGGGTGAGGGCAAAGGGAGAATTGAGGATGGCTGGTGGAAGGTGACTTGGGAGGCGGGATGAGGGCAGGGAGCAGAGACCGTGTGTGGTAACTCTGGGTAAGCCCGGAGTTGGGGAATGGAGGTCAGAAGGGAGGTCAAGGCTGACTCCAGAGATGTGGAGGCAGACGTATCCAGGTGACCCTTCAAGGCCACAGAATTGACCATGTCTATGCTGGGCAGAGCATCGAGAGGGGGCCTAGGCCTACCCATGTGTATGCCCAGAAGAGGGAGGGGGAGTTCCCAGAGTGGGACCCCAGCCCACAGCCAGCACCCCGGCCAGCATGGACGCTCCACCTGCCCTTCCCTGCACTCACCAGAACCCCTGTTCCAGGCTTCCTGGCACTAGGCTTCTGGGGCTTAGGACCCCGTAACTGCAGGAAGGAATTGTGCCAAGACTCAGGACACAGAACCAAGACTGCCTATTCATCCCTTCCTCCAAAAAGTGCATGGTGTGGCCAGCAGCATGAGCACAGGAGTTCCTGGTGAAGCTGCAAGGCCTCGAGGCAGGCAGGGCAAGTTCTCAGCAAAGCTCAGGCGCCTCGCCACGTCCCACACTGGGAGGTGGGTAGGAGGGTGGTCCCTGGGATATTGCTCATGTATGGGCACCTGCAGGAGCAGCAGAGCCCCACCCCGCGCCACCCGTGCATTGGTCAGTGTAGTCCCTAAGGCCACCTTAGGCAGTGTTTCCAGGCCGTATCCACAGATGCCCCAGTAGAGCCGGCAGGTGACTTCATTCTGTGGTTCTGGGGCCTTCTGTGTCTGGAGGCGACTAACAGCTTGGGACCCAGATTTGCCTTCCCCATCGCCAGCCACACAACTGTGGGCAAGAGGCTTGCTCTCCCAGCCCCAGACTCCCCACTTGGGAAAATTTTAAATGGGAGGGAGATGAGCCCGTTGCCCAAGTGAGGCTTAAATAAAGGAGCAAGTAAACACACCCTCCACCAGAGCTGGACGCGGGCAGCAACTGTCCTTAGGACCCTGATGATTGTGATACTTGCGGGACTCAGGGGGGCCCCATGGGTCTGAATGGCTGCTGTGGCCACTTCTCCCCAAACCAGGCCAGCCTCGATGGTCAAGTGTGTCTTACCCAAACAAGACCAAGACCAGCATCACTAGGAAAAGGATCATAGGTAGAAATGTGTAGCATTTTGGTTTTCCTGGAAAACAGGAGTGGAAAAATCAGATTACTCACCTTCCTTCTTTCACCTGTCCCACTTTACCTGTCCTGTCTTGTGATTCAGGCCCCACGCCCTGTGACGGGCCTTCACCTGCCAAGATGGTCCCTCTGCCCCACAGGTGATGCTCTGAACCCCACCTGGTATCTCCAAACCCAGTCCAGATCCGGCCCTCCTCCCACTCAGAGAAGAGGGAGGCGGTCTGCTCCTCCCAGCTCATCAGCCCGATTGCTCCTGCAGACTCTGAGAGTCACCCTGGCTTCCCAATGACCTCCTTCCACTCAGCACCCCATTCCCCTGGGAGACCGGAACGAACCACACTGAAATGGCACCTCGAGGTCACCGTTGAATCCACCGAGGGAGGCCAGGACAGCCTCATGGCCAGGCTGAGCCAGGAGCCCAGACCAGTTCCTGCCAGCGAGAGGAGCCACCAACTTCCCCTAGTATCTCCCTGCCCTCTCAGAGGCTCCTGCCCTGGAAACAATCATTGTCTTTCTTTTAAGGTGATTTTTATGTATATTAAAGTGGTGTACAGTAGTTCCCTCTTATCCACGCCTTCGCTTGCTGGAGTTTCTGTTACCCATGGTCAACCAAAGCCCAATAATAGGTGAGTATAGTACAGTAAAATATTTTGAGGACAGGTCTGGTGGCTCATGCCTATAATCCCAGGACTTTGGGAGGCTGAGCCAGGAGAATTGCTGGAAGTCAGGAGTTCTAGACCAGCCTGGGCAACATAGTGAGAACTCATTTCTGTGGGGGAAAAAAAAAAAAATTAGCGGGGCAGAGTGGTGCACACCTTGGGTCCCAGGAGGCTGAGGTGGACTAGGAGGTGAAGGTTGCAGTGAGCCATGACTGCACCACTGCGCTCCCGCCTGGGTAGCAGAGTGATTCCTTTAAAAATAAACAAAACAGCCGGGCGTGGTGGCTCAAGCCTGTAATTCCAGCACTTTGGGAGGCCGAGACGGGCAGATCACGAGGTCAGGAGATCGAGACCATCCTGGCTAACATGGTGAAGCCCTGCCTCTACAAAAAAATACAAAAAAACTAGCCAGACGAGGTGGCGGGTGCCTGTAGTCCCAGCTACTCGGGAGGCTGAGGCAGGAGAATGGCGTAAACCCGGGAGGCGGAGCTTGCAGTGAGCCGAGATCGCGCCACTGCACTCCAGCCTGGGCGACAGAGCGAGACACCGTCTCAAAAAAAAAGAAAAATAAATAAATAAACAAAACAACAACAACAAAACCCCCACAAACTAAGATACATATACATTTTTTTTTTAGAGAGAGACCACATTCACATAACCTTTATTACAGTATATTGTTTTCGTTTTTGAGACAGAGTTTCGCTCGTTTCCCAGGCTGGAGTGCAAAGGCGCAACTGCGGCTCACTACGGCCTCCGCCTCTGGGGTTCAAGCAATTCTCCTCCCTGAGCCTCCCAAGTGGCTGGGTTTACAGGCATCCACCACCACACCTGGCTAATTTTTTGTATTTTTAGTAGAGATGGGTTTCACCATGTTGGCCAGGCTGGTCTCGAACTCCTGACCTCAGGTGATCCACCTGCCTCTGACAGTATATTGTTATAATTGTTCTATTTTATTATTAATTATGGTTGTTAATCCCACCCTGTGCTTAACTGATAAATTAAACTCTATCATAGGTATGTGTGTATAGGAGAAAACATGCTCTCTATAGGGCTTGGTACTATCCGTGGTTTCAGACATCACTGGGGATCTTGGAACGTATCCCCCGCAGTAAGAGGGGACTTCTGTTTTCATGAGGGCAAGCCTGAAGGGTGTCTATCTCCCGGCCCAGTTCCTATTCCTTCCCCTGAAATCAGTCCCTTTCAACTAATTCATCTGTTACTTCTTATCTTATAATGCTTATGTGTATTTACCTCCACCTTTCTAAATCCTGTAACCATGAAACAATTTATCTGGAACAGCTTCCTGAAACAGAAACGTGGGAGGTAACATTTGAACTTTACATGTCCTAAATGATTTTGACCATTTTTGTAGTTGGTAGATTGTTTGGCTGTAGGGAAATCTCAGTGGAAATAATTTTCCTTCAATTTGGCAAAAATGGTTCCATTTTTAAAAATTTTGAAAATCAATTTCATTTGAGGGAGAACTTACATCCAATGAAATGTACCCACTTTAGGTATACAGTTTTGATTTCACACAATGTAGGTACACGTGTAATCAGCACCCCAAACAACATATACACATTTTCATCACCCCAGTAAGGTCCCTCCTGACCCCGGCAACCACAGATCTGATTTCACGGCGTCTCCCATAAACAGAATCGTCTGACAATATGCTCTTTTACGTCTGGCTGTATCACACGGCATGCTGTTTTGAAGATTTACCTATATCGTCATGTGTATCAATTGTTCGTTCTTTTTTATTGCCGAGAAGCACGCCATTGTTAATCCGCCACAATTCGTTTGTCCTGTCTCCTATTGACAGACACTTCAGTTTTTTTCACTGTTTGGGGCCACTAGCAATAAAGTTTCTGTAAATACCCATGTGCAGGTATTTGTGGACCTGTGTTTTCACTTCCCTTGAGTAAACACGAAGGAGTGGAAAAGATGGGTTACATGGTAAGTATATGTTTAACTTTGTAAGAAACTGCCAAACTGTGTTCCAAAGTGGTGACTGAATTTTCCATTCCCACCAGGAATGTATGAGAGCCATGGGTGCTCCACTTTCTTGCCAATACTTAATGGTCACTCTTTTATGCTTTAGTCATGCTAGTGGATGAGTAGTGATATCTAATTGTGGCCAATGACTAATTGTGGTCAATCATCTTTTCATGTATTTATTGGCCATTTGTTTGTTTCTTATGAAGCCTGTCCAAGTCTTTAGCTCATTTTATTAGTATTTATTTATTTACTTATATATATTTTTGGGGGACGCGGTCCCACTCTAGTTGCCCAGAGTGTGGTGGCACGATCATGGCTCACTGCAGCCTTGACTTCCTGGGCTCAGGTGATCCTCCCACCTCAGCCTTTTGAGTAGCTGGGACTACAGGCATGCACCACACCTAGCTAATTTTTGTGATTTTGGTAGAGATAGGGTTTCACCATGCTGCCCAGGCTGGTCTTGGGAACTCCTGGACTTAAGCGATCCACCCCTCAGCCTTCCAATGTGCTGGGATTCCAGGCATAAGCCACCTCCCCCAGCCCTTTATTTTTATTTTTTTTAGAGACAAGATCTTTCTCTGTCACCCAGACTGGAGTGCAGTGGCACGATCACAGCTCACTGCAACCTTGAACACCTGGGCTTAAGCAATCTTTCCCCCTCAGCCTCCTGATTAGGTGGGACTATAGACATGCACCAACATGCCCGGCTAATTATTTTACTTTTTGTAGACACTGGGTCTCATTATAAATTGTTTCTCTTTTTATTATTGAGCAGTAGAATTCATTTCTGTATTTTGGATACAAGTCCTTTGCCAAATACAAATATTACACATATTTTCTCGCCACAGAAAGACAGATACTGCATGTTCTCACTTATCTGTAGTATCGAAACATCAAAACAATTAAACTCATGGAAATAGAGAATAGAAGGATTGTTCGCAGAGACTTGGAAGGGTAGTGGCAGGGGTGGGAAGGTATGTAGGGATGGTTAATGGGTACAAAAAAATAGAAAGAATGAATAAGACCCAGGGAGACTATAGTCAATAATAATTTAATTGTACATTTAAAAATAACTAAAAGAGAGGCCGGGCACAGTGGCTCACACCTGTAATCTCAGCACTTTGGGAGGGAGAGGCAGGTGGATCATCTGAGGTCAGGAGTTCAAGACCGGCCTGGCCAACATGGTGAAATCTCATCTCTACTAAAAATACAAAAACTAAGGCCAGGCGTGGTGGCTCATGCCTGTAATCCCAGCACTTTGGGAGGCCAAGGCAGGTGGATCACAAGGTCAGGCATTTGAGTCTAGCCTGACCGACATGGTAAAACCCCCGCCTCTACTAAAAATACAAAAAATTAGCCAGGCGTGGTGGCGCTTGCCTGTAATCCCAGCTACTTGGGAGTCTGAGGCAGGAGAATCTCTTGAACCTGGGAGACGGAGGTTGCAGTGAGCCAAAATTACACCACTATACACCAGCCTGGGCGACAGAGCGAGACTCCATCTCAAAAAAAAGAGAAAAAAAGTTTAAAAATACAAAAACTTGCTGGGCGTGGTGGTGGGCGCCTGTAGTCCCAGCTACTCAGGAAGCTGAGGCAGGAGAATCACTTGAACCTGGGCGGCGGAGGTTGCAGTGAGTTGCGACGGCGCCACTGCACTCCAAGTTGGGTGACAGAGCGGAGACTCCGTCTCAAAAAAAAAAAAAAAAAAAAAAGAATAAAAATAACAAAAAGTAAGTATAATTGGATTGTTTGTAACACAAAGGATAATTGCTCAAGGGGATGAATACTAGTTCTCCTTGATGTGAATTTTCCATTGTATGAACCAAAATATCTCATGGACCCCATAAATATATACACTTACTATGAACCCATAAAAATGGAAAACAAAATACTTCTTAGAAAACAAATATTTTCTCTCAGTCTGTGGCTTATTTGTTCATTTTTCCTTAATTTTTCTTTTGAAGGGAAGTGTTAATTTTGATAAACTCTAATTTATCCTTATGAAAATGAAACCATTTTTAGGGCTTGAGCTTTTTTTGCCTCATCTATTAAATTTTTGCCTACCCCAAGTTCATGAATATTTTCACTTATTTTCTTCAGAATTCCATAATTTTCGTGTATGGTGTGAAAGGCTAAAGTCCCTTTCTTCCCCCAATGGATATCCAGTCATTTTAGCTATTTGAATTGAAAATACTTTCCTTTCTCCATCACATTACCTTAGCACCCTTATCAAAAAGTAACTATTTAAAAATCAATTGACTATATGTGTGTGGGTCTGTTTCTAAACTCTGCATTCTATTCCATTGATCTATGTGTCTATCCTAATATCAGCCTATTTGAATTACTG